GAGGGTGGTGAAGGGGGGAGGGGGGGAACATCGGGTGGGTTTGTGTTTTAGTAAGAAAAGGTTCAAGCATTCGGCCTTTAGGTCAAGTGTGGGAGCCGTACAAGTACAAAAGTAGATGTAGTGGATGGAGTAGAGGTGGTAGAGTCTAGTAGGGGGACCGGGGGGAAAGAGCAAAGCGACCCTCAGGCGAGGATCGGTCGCTCTTAGTTGCAGTCACCCAGAGAGTCTGAGAGTCTCTTTGGACAATGGCCCATGTTGGCCACTTCTCCCTGGTGGCCCCAGTAGTGAAGAAAGAGAAAACACCATCATCATGAGGAGAACCTCGGACACAGCCACTTGCAGGCTCTTATCCAGGCCCAAGTAGCCGGATCAGTCTGAGATCGACCTATCGCTTGAAGCACGAGCAGAAGTTGTTTTCAACGTTTTGACGGGCACCTAGTGAATAGCTCTGGGATCTCCCAACAATGCAGGCGGATGCGCATCCGACAGGTTTGACCAAGATGGCTAGCAGTTAGCTACATATATGTACGAGGAGGGAGGTAGGTACAGTAGTTGCCTCTCGAAGGCAACCGCTTACCCACCTACCTAGGTACTTAGCAACCTAGCCAAAAGGTAGGGTTTACATATCCACCGCCCCTGACATACATAGATGTTCATGATCTGGCACTCTGGCCTGTACCTCGTACAAGGAGGTGGTGTTTGGGGAGTTTGCTGCAGGTGCTAGGCTATCTACTAGGTATATGTTACCTAGATACATACCTAGGGAGGTACCTAAGGTACTTAGGTAGGTCGATAGGCTATGTCCCATGTACTTGGATCAAGTACCTCGTACATACATGTAGGTACTTGTAGTTGATTCCAATCCCCACCTTGTTTGCCATCTGTTCTTAACTCTTCTTGCCCCCTCTTCACCTGTACAGACCTTCGGGGCTCGCGGCAAACACACCCAAGTCGTCGATCCTGCACATCTGCCGCAATTTAGTCCCAACTAGATCCTCCCTCCCCCTTACTCCCCCAAACTTCCGCCCCCGTATTTGTTTGTCCCTCTACATGAATAGCATAGGTAGTTTGCCAAAAGCCCACAAGTCAAGGATAAACCAAAAAATAAAAAATAAAATGAAATAAAATGATAACCACCCAACAATCCTGAACTCCACCAACGCCAGTCGCAGCTTTCGGCGGATGGCCAGTCATTGTCAAGAGCCTTCCACACCTCTTCTAGATCTTGTTCACGCGAATGCTTCCAATCCTACCGCCGGTGCCGCTGCCCTTGGTATGAGGTCAGTGGCGGGTGCCTCGTGTGACACGTCACTTTTTCTCTCGGATCGCCGGTCTCGCAACCCGAATCAAGGCGTCAAAGGGCCGTGCAGAGCAAGGTCCACGAGGTTGACATGGCTACCTCGTACTGCTGGGGCTGCTTCGATGATGGGTCTGACGCCGTGTGACCATGGAATTGGTGCGCGTTTTTCGTTTGTTGTCTGTTGGCATGTGCAGCTCGCCGGGATACTTGTCTACGAGCACGAGGTACGAGCACGAGGTACAAACACTTGCCGCTCCACTTTGCAGCCCAGCAACATCCCTCCTGGCGTTTTTTTGGGCAAGTAATAGTACAACAACTAAGGCGTCTCAGGAGTCTTGACATGAGACCAGTCTCTCCAATAGGAATGTACTTGTATTCCAGAGTTCTCTCGCGGGTGCATCCTCGCACGCCCTTGCAGAACCGTGACCGAAGTTTGAACCAATCAATATTCGTGTAGCATTCAACTTGCCGCCCTCATGGCGTCACACTATCATTATAGACCAAGTAGACGGAAAGAACAAGAACAAATGCATCCTCAAAACCTTCAACCTTCCATGCCTTGCCAATAAAACACACCGCATGCATCTGAACGCTCCCATGAACCAGAATTCTTGTCGCACCGTGGACAACTTGCGCATTCTCGTGTCTGTCTGATCATTTATCATCGCTATGACTGCCGGTCAAGGTTTCCTTTGTCTTCTCGGCTAGTGAGCGGATAGTGCTGCGTTCTTTGTTGAAGGAGTCGGATCGCACTTTCTCGTTGTGTGCGCGAGCTTTGCGTTGTTCTTCCTCGGTGGGCTTGTACAGGTTGGCGGCACCACCTGCAGATCAAATATTAGCTTGAAATAGTTCGTGACTCAACACTTAGTCCATGCATACCTCTGCCGGTGTGGTGGACGCCCTCCGGAATTGTAATTGCGGGTACATCGACATCTTGGGCGCGGCGGGCTTCCTCTGGGTGCTCAAAGTCGTTCTTGGCCATGTTGCCAGTCCCGCCTCGTCCGGTGGTGTACGTCTTGGATTTTAAAGAAGGAGTGGTCTGAGGTTCGAAAGACGGCGAGTGTTTAGTCTTGGTGGTGACGTTGCCTGATGAACAAAGTTAGACAAGGCTGATTCGCTAAAGGCCAACTGCGGGTTGCTGGAGCATGTACTGACCGGCGCCACCACGGCCATAGGTGACAGTTGCGTTGGCGTGGTTGGTCATGTTGGCTTTTGGTTGCAATAGAATGGACTTCAAGAATGTGGTAGAAGAAGACTTTTCTTCCCACAGGAGTAGGTTGTGTCACAAGTCGAGATCTAAGTACGGTGATGCCCCTGGAGCGCTGTGAAGAGGCAGAAAGGGCTTTAAGAGGAAGACTGTAGGATACGAGTAAAATGAGTCTGCGAATGTAGGGTATTGTTCTAAGTCTGCAAAGATTGGGACGAATGGATTTTAGAAGTGAAGGTTGGCTACAAACAGTGTACTCTGCCCCGGATTCCCTACGACTTACATCACAATAAGTAGCATTGACGCGATATCCGAGGCTTGCATCATCAGGGCTCTGAATTTGACCAGAAAAATTCTCTGGCGACACGTGCGGAGAGAAAAAAGAAGCCTTTCATAAACACGACTGTCAAACTTGCCTGGAGGAGGACGAGGACCAAAACTAGACGTAATAGAAACAGCCTCATTGCGTAGAACTTGCGGCTAAGAAGGCTGGGCATTGAATCAGCGTTCTTGTCCTCCCCTCTTCGCCGTTCTCCAGACCTTCCACTCCTCGGGGTTCGGCTCCATCAAGGCTGTCCTTCTCACTCAATTCCACTGCTAAAAAAAACCCTTAATGTGCACGCGCACACGCCTCAGGCTCAAATTGCCCTTTGCAGATGCCTCCAAGACCGCGGTAAATTCAACTCTTCAGCCGACTTGATGTAACAGCGACAGGCTAGCACCGGCTTCCCCAGATTCCCCCTCGATCTGCAAGTGATGATGTCGATTGCCGCTGTTCCTATCACACCATCTCCAAGCCTGCCTATCCTCGCTAGCGAGCGAAGGAAAACAATGATCTCTTTCAAGCGGCGACAATAGCTCTGTTGCCATCGCATCGATCATCGTGGCGTCCATCATCTGCCGGGTTGTCCATCTGTCTGCCCGCCAAGCGAGAACAGAATTTTCTCTGAAAAGCTGCCCGCAGGAGGACCTTCTTCAACCACGGTTCACGGCGGTGTCCACAGTAGTACAGGATATACGATGTACGAGAGAGTGGTTCTGATCCACTACCGTCCGCACATAACCATGAGAGCGTAAAATATTGAAATTTTCCAACATGGTCTTACCGCAAGTTCCAATCCCAAGTCCTCCAACACGCAGGCAATTGGCCGCAAGCACAGCATCGGCGGATGTTATTGCCAAAAGAACGGACACCGGAACAACAATCGTTGACACCGTCTTTGGTATACGCCAGCACAGCGTGTACCTCTCGCCACGATGATGTCCAAGGGCAGAAAAGAATATCCTACCTACTCTCTAAAATCCAATAGTACCAATGATTCTGGGAGTCGGTCTGTGGGTATGCAATCGGAAGATCAAGGCAGCAGTAGCCAAGTCGCATTCCCTGGATCTTGGGTTTGATCTGGTCGAAGCGGTCAAGAATCGGGTTCAGTACCTCCGCTCGGTTGATCTACTGGGACTCCGTGCCGGGTCCTGAAACGAGGGCGCGAGGGTGTGCCCTGAATGATGATGGCCAGTCTGTCCTTGAAGCCCATCCCGCGTTCCACAACTTTGGCACTCCGAATCAGCCACTGACGCCACGAGAACGAGCAATGGTACACATGAGTTAGTTGCGAGGGTGAGGCGGACCTTGCGCTTAACGAGCTTAACGATAAGCACCCGCTACTAGGCGTCATTTAGGCGTAGTCCCCCCTAGGAATCCTGCTTTGCTCCTCCACCATTCGCCGGGTACACTGGCATTTTCTCCGTTAAACCTGAGAGTGGGATGCAGGAACGTGTCTGAGAATTGAACTTTTCCATCTCAAATCGTCCATTCATCACTTGTCCACCACTCAGCAGCACCCGTCGAGGTGTTGACACCAACACAGGACAAACGTGGCTTCCAAGGTGGCGGGGGTCGAGTAGTAGCTGCTCTTGCTCCCGCTTTCTGCTTAGTACGCTGCTCAGCGTGGCATAATAATGAGGTTTACACACCACCGTCGTCGCAGTGTTTCTTCCTCCTCACCTGCTTGGTGAGCTATCATTGCCTGAAGGGCTTCTCATCTCTTACCTTTGTATTGATACCACAATTCAGTCTCTCGAATAGATTTCTATCTTCTTGACAGGATCGTGACTAGCCTTCACCTCCGGTTCGTGCAACATTCAGCTTTGCCAGTTAAGCAGTAGCTATCGGACAATGATATAGAAAAGTCACGCAAGGGCAGCCCTTCTGAAGTTTCGCTTCGCACCCTCATCGAGCCGGCGACATGCCTCCCAAAACCCATCAGAGCACCCGTCAGGTGTACCTCTTGCCGCTCACTGATGCTGGAGCTCCGGATGTTCCCAACGAGTACATCTACTTGCCTGCGCCGACCGAGCCTGCATACTACCTGCGATTTGCCATTGAAGGGACCAGCTCGATATGCCGGCAAGGAAGTCTCTGGGTCAATTTTCCCTTAAAGGGTCAACCGTTCGACCGAAAGCGCTATCACGAATTCAAGCTGCACCCAGACTTCAATCGAACGCTTGAGATCGACATCCCCATCACTTCCGCCGGCGCGTTCTCATTTTATACAACCTACAGCCCATTGCCAGAGTTTGCTACAGGCGACGTCGAGTCTCCTGAGCCTACACGTACTCCCACATACTATGTCGACATTGAGCCGAGCCTGCGCCTTGGTGGCAGCTGTCTGCCCCTCGATGCTCTGGGAATTTTCTCCGTGGTTTCCAAGTTCATGGGCAATTACCCTGGGGACTGGAAGAAGCATCTGAGGGGGATTAGTGCAAGAGGCTACAACATGGTCCACTTTACACCACTACAACAAAGGGGAGAGTCAAACTCGCCGTATAGCTTGTACGACCAGTTGGCGTTTGACGCGAATCTCTTCCCTGGCGGTGAAGATGATGTCGCCCGAATGGTCAAATCCATGGAAGAGGAACACGAACTATTGGGCCTGACTGATGTTGTCTTCAATCATACTGCCAACAACAGCAAATGGCTCGAGGAACACCCTGAGGCTGGTTACAGTGTGGAAACTGCTCCCTGGTTGGAATCGGCGCTCGATGTTGACAATGCTCTCCTCGAGTACAGCAACAATCTCACATCTCTCGGTCTCCCCACTGTCTTCAACAGTACCAGCGATCTGGACCTGGTTGTGGCGGGCATAAACGAGCATGTCATCCACAAGATCCGGCTCTGGGAATACTTCGTCTGCGATGTCAAGTCAGACACTCAGGCTGTGATTGAAGCATGGAAAAAAGGCGCAGTCAAATTACCTCCTGAGGGTTTCGAGAATGCGATAGGTGGTGGTCTTGACTCTCTCAAATCGTGGTCTCTCTCTCAAAAGGCGGCATTCATCCTGGACAAAGGTATGCTGGACAGTCTCCGCGTTGATGGCCAGCATTCGCGTCTTCGGATTGATGGACGATTTTCGCGCAAAGTCGACCCTGGGGTTGGCGCTGCCATTCTCACCACTCTGTTTGGACGGTACAAAGACGGAGCGGACACCAAGCCAGCAGAGGAAGAGATCACGGCAATTATCAATGAGCTCAACCTTCCTTTCTACAAGGAGTTTGATGCCGACTGTGCTGCAATTTTAGACCAGACGAAGGGAAGGCTGCAATACACAAGAATGGACTCGCATGGCCCAAGACTCGGTCCCATCACCAAAGAAAATCCCCTGATAGAGACTTATTTCGCTCGGCTCCCGCAAAACAAGACAACAGCTAAACATGACCCGAAGGCGCTGTCACTGGCGGTCAACGGGTGGATTTGGGCAGCCGATGCCATGAAAGACAATGCAGGTCCTGATTGGAGACCATATCTAAGAAGAGAACTCATTCCGTGGAGCGACTGTGTCAAGCTGAGATACGGCAAAGGCCCCGAAGACAACCCTTATCTGTGGGAGCATATGACAAAGTATGTCCGATTGATGGCCAAATACTTTACAGCTTTCCGGATCGATAATTGCCACTCGACTCCAATCCACGTTGCCGAATACCTTCTAGACGAGGCGAGAAAGGTACAGCCGAACTTGGCAGTGTTCGCTGAGCTCTTTACTGGCAATGAGCAAATGGATTACGTTTTTGTCAAGCGGCTTGGACTGAGTGCCTTGATTCGAGAAGCTATGCAAGCTTGGAGCACACAAGAATTGAGCAGGGTTGTCCACCGGCATTGTGGTCGACCAATTGGCAGCTTTGAACTCAACGTGCCCTCCAGTCTACACAACAAGCTCGAAAACGGCTCTGCCAATGGCGATGGCCCACAAACTCGTGAGTTAGTCAAACATATCAGAGAATCCCCGGTACATGCTCTATTCATGGATTGTACCCATGATAACGAAATGCCCGCTCAGAAGAGAGATGCCAGGGACACGTTACCTACAGCTGCACTTGTAAATATGTGCGGTTGTGCAACAGGCAGCGTCATGGGCTTCGATGAGATCTACCCAAAGCTTGTCGATCTTGTGAACGAGAATCGCAGATACGCATCCATCAGCTCTGAGGGCGAAGTCCATACTGGTGCTGGCGAGGGAGGAATAGCGGGCGTCAAGAAGCTCATGAACCATATCCACACCATGATGGGCAAGGATGGGTATGATGAGACCTTCCTTCACCATGAGGGCGAGCTCATCACTCTCCATAGAGTGCATCCGGACTCGCGAAAAGGATATTTCCTGATAGCTCATACTGCTTTCCCTGGCTTCGGCAACGGAAATGGCGGCATGAGTCCTGTACACCTTGCTGGAACCAAAGTCCGTCCTCTCGGTGCATGGGTGCTGGAAGTTGACCAAAGCGAGCAAGCCAAAAAAGAGGCGCTAGGCGACAAAGAATACCTTGTTGGTCTACCCTCTCGCGTGAGAAATATCAAAGGCAGCACAATTCATACCGAAAATGGTGACACTACCATCACTATTGCCGACTTCTTTCCCCCCGGATCGATTGCACTTTTCGAGACCTGGGTTCCATCTGCCGAGCACTCCCTTGGTCTTGGAGCCTTCATCTCCAGCGGGACTGAT